CAGCAAGCAACACTGCCACCTGAGTAAAGGTTATTATATTCATACAATAGGTGTATATTCATTCAATCGGTGGATTTTCTTCTCCTTCTCCCCCTCCTCTTTTTTTTTTTTTTTTTAAAAGAAAGAGGCTTAAATAATTCAGGCTAACCTTGAACCACATCCCCAGGGTCCTTTTGTTTTATTTCTCTCTGGGTTTTGCTTAAGGTGCTTTTCTACCTGTTTGCTATAAGCTTGGTGCCTCCCCCCCCCCCCCATTCCGGGTTAAGGGAGAGAAAAAAAAAAGAAAAATATGAGAATGTACTGATAAAAATACATGTCTCAAAAAAACCCCAAAAGAACCCTGCAAGATAGAATTTTATGGGCACATAAAACTCAAGGGCTTTGGACTTTATCCTTAGGTCTGGGTTCAGGGCAAGGGGGCACATTACAGGGTGATCAACTTGAGGTGGAGTAGAGTGTTCATTCAGTAGCCTGGATCATATAGTTTGTGTCAGGGCAGTTGGTCCCCTGGAGAGTTCTAAGCTAAATAAGCCTTGAGTCTTGGGGAAGGAAGATCAGGTACCCGGAGTCTTGGGTTGGTGGCAGTGGGTCATTTGCTTGAGCCTAGAAGCCTACAAGTGACAGCCACAGTACTTGCCTTCTATAGTGGCTGAGGTTGAGGCTGGATGAAGCAGATATTGAGAGGCTCCACATCTTGTTCCAGCTGTGCTCAGAGCCACTGTGGACTGTGAGGAGAGATGGCAGGTGTGACTGCTGGCTCTCCGTGGCTGTAAGTTCATGTTTCCAGCTTTCCCTTTGAGTTCCTTCCTGTCCTTTCTGGCTCAGCTCTGAGGCAAGGTGCTCATCTCAGCAATTCCCCTTCCTCGGAGAAACGCCCTCTTCTGCACCTCTCTTTCTTTCCTTGGCGGCATTTCGGCTGATCTACCTTATGCAGGAGCTAATCTCTAGCCTGAGCCTTTCGCGCTCCTTAGACATTGTCTGCCCCAGTGGTGTGTGGTGATGGCGACAGTGTTTGATCTACGTCTAGTAGCCTCTGAGTTTAAGCTCTTCTGTGTACTACCTCCTTGCTTCTTGCAGAACCTTCCAAGCACTTCTCCTTTCTGACCAACACACTAGAAAGCAGCTGAAGCTCAGGAGACATGACTGTGTCCTGTCCCGATTCACATGAGGTTAACGTCTTAAGTTGGAGTCCACATTCACGGGGTCTGAAAGCCAGAACTCTACTTGGGCTGCCAGTGACTAAGAACACCGTGGACTGTTACTTAAAAACAAAACAAAACAGAAAACAACCAACCAATCGACCAACCATGGGAACTGAGATAAGTCAATAAAGTGTTTGCTGTGCAAGTTTGAGTACTTGAGTCCCTTGTAACCAAGTAAAAGGCCAAGTGTGTTGGTGTGAGTTTGCAAGCCCAGTGCTGATGACTTGCAGACAGGAGGATGCTAGTTGGTGAGCTCCAGGATAGTGAGGATGCCATCTCAAAAAATGAGGTGGATGGCTCCTCAGGAACAACACACCACATGCTTTGGCATCCATGCACACATGTGCACATTCACATACACACAGACACACACACTATTGGGAATGATGCTGGAGAGGGGAGAGGTGGTTTCAGATGAGTTCTCAGTGTACCTCATCTTAGAAATGGATTATAATGGGTTCTGCAGGCGAGCAATCAAGTTATCAACTGAGCCATTTCCCCAGTCCACCTGTGTCATCTGTTAAGACAAGGATGTCAGTCTGAGTCTTCCTTCAAGCATTCAGTAGTGGACTACTTTGTTTATTTCATTTGTCGTAAAGAAAGGAAGTTAAACTTTGGTGGGAGATCTGTCCCTGTAGGACTGGCAAGGCTCAGAACCTTGTGAATACCTGGGACTTGGGAAATGGCTGCCTTGTATAAGCCCATGGTGCTTGTTTTGAGGGTTTTGTCTGTCTTTGTTACACACCCCTCCTCCCCATACCAGAAATAGAATCCAGGGCCTTGTGCATCTGAGCAAGCACTTTACCACCAGGCTGCATTCCCAGTCCTCTTTCTAGCTCTTATTCTACACATTTTAGTTTCTGTGTGAGTGCAAAGGTCAATGTGTGGGAGTGGCTTCTTCCACCACTATGTTCTGGGGGAGCAAACTCAGGTCCTTAGACTTAGTGGCAAGTGGCGTTGCCTGTTGAGCCACCTCACTGGCCCTAGCTTTGTTTTCTGATAACTTTCATAAAGTTGCCCAGCCTGGTGTTAAACTCATTCTAATAGTCTAGGCAGGTCTTGAATTTTCAATCTTCTGCCTCAGTTTCCCAAGCTGGGATGGCAGGCTGGTATCAGCAGTCCTGGCCAACTTGTCTACATTTTAAATAAACCTACACAGACAGGTGCATGCCTGCCATAGGGGCCTGCTGGGTTCTTTACGTCATGCTACATTGTTTATTTGCAAGGGTGAATGGAATGAGGCAGTGGAAGGTGGAATAAAAGTCAAGGTTGTCATATGTAGTTTGGCATAGTGGTGTTGCCAAGAACAAGGGTGCTCTAAAGAGAATGAGGACAACAGAAGGGCATTACAGCAGGGGCTCTTCCAGTGGACTACTGAACTTCCCCAGGGGTTTCTGTTACAGGTGCACCAGGTAGGTGCCCTCTGTATCAACAGCCAGGTATTGACTGGAAGTTGGTAATAGTTGGCTCTAGAAAAAACACCAGGGCACTGGGAATGGTTAGAAACAGCTTAGGGCAAAACTTCTGTCTGTCTGCCTGCCTGCCTGTCTGTCTGTCTCTTCTCCCCCCCCCCACCTTCTCTACCCTCCTTCTTTTTCCTCTCCCTCTTTCCCCTTTCTCTCTCTTCTTTCCTCCCTTCTTCCTTTTCTTCTCTCACCCTTCTACTCTCTTCCTTCCCCTTTCTGTCCCTCTCTCCAAAAGAAATGAAAATGTCAAGAATTAGGCAAATTTTGTGAGTGATTTCAATGGCCAGTGTGGTTGCACATGCCTTTAGTCTCAGTACGCTGAAGCAGAGGCAGGTAAATCACTTTGAGTTTAAGGCTAGCATGGTCTATAGTGAGTGTGCAAGAGAGGGAGGGAGGGAGAGAGGGGGAGGGGGGAAGAGAGAGGAAAGAGAGAGAGAGAGAGAGAGAGAGAGAGAGAGAGAGAGCGAGCGAGCTAGCTGGCTCTAGATATCAGTTAGGTTTAAAAAAGGAAAGGCTGAGGACATGGTCCAGCTGGCACAGTGCTTACCCAGCATGTACAAGGCCTTGGGGTCATCAACACCACATAAAGCTAGGTGTGGTGGCGCACACCTCTAGTGCCTGTCATCCTAGCAGTCTGGAGGGAGAGGAAGCAGGATCTGGAATTGAAGGTCATTGTGTGCTTTATCTGAAGTTTGAATTCAGCCTGCACTGAGACCTTGTCTCAAAATAAGGCAAGGAGTCTAAGAGGGTTCAGCAAGTAAAAAAAAAAAGAAAGAAAGAAAGAAAAAACCCAAACTTGCTTCCAAGGCTGACATCCTAGGTTTGATCCACGTGGTGGAAGAAGAGAGCTGAATCTTGAAAGTTGTCCTCTGACCATGTGTGCACACGGACATGGGTAATATAAGAACTCCCCCACCCTCCTTTTTGAAACCAAGGTACAGAATAGAGTTGGCATCATGATACCTTTTAGGGAAACTACATCATTTGCATTTGGATGGTATCTGGAAGAAAAACTAATGTGTTAGCAAGGGGAGCTTGCCAAGAGGTAGTTGGACAGACTGAGTTAGGAGAGAAAGGCTAATTTTTCACCATATATTATTTTGTATACTTAGAAAATTTTTTTTAACATGCTGTGTAATTACCTGTGAAGAGCAAGCAAGTACCAAAAGAGACAGGGGTCATGAGTGAATTTTTGTGTGCTTGGATGGGTGATGGATGATTGTTCAGGTGGAGAGGTGGACACATAGACAGGTAGGAGGCAGGTCATGGTGGATATGTAGATACAGCAGTAACCTGCTGTAGTGGGAGGATTGTGCAGAACCAGTAGCTGGGTTTGCATGCTACTCCGGTGGTTCAAGCACTGTGCCTCCATCAGAAAGGACAGAGCTCATTATATATGTATATTTTTAGACAGAGTCTCACTAGTATCCTTGGCTAGCCTGGTACTCAGTTATGTAGACTAGGCTGGTCTCAGATTCACAGAGATCCACCTGCCTCTGTCTCCCAAGTGCTGGGATTAAAGGTATGACCATCACATGCAGCCTAACAGTTATTTATTAAATTAAAAATTGTGGTTTCAGTGAGATGATTCAGTGGATAAAGGTGCTGTCACACACACACATACACACACACACACAGAGAGACACACACACAGAGACACACAGACACAGACACACACAGAGACACACACACACAGACACACACAGACACACACACACACAGACACACACACACAGACACACACACAGACACACACAGACACACACACAGACACACACAGACACACACACACACACACACACACACACACACACACACGGAGTGTAAAATGTTAAAATGGTGTTATATTGCCAGGCAGTGTTGCTCATCTTTCATCCCAGCACTTGGGAGGCAGAGGCAAGTGGATACCTGTGAGTTTTCCGCTCCCGACAGTACCGTTTTCTGTGAACATCTAGCATAGGGTGGACACATAGTACCGGCATTTGGGCATTATGTGTGCAGATGGTGATAAAGGTCTGGAGTCTTTAGTTCATGAAGCATACATGCAAATGATCTGTATGATGACCCCAGGTTCTTCAGGGTTCGAGGGATCAAGGTCCCTTCAGGTGACAACCTCTCTCTATCTTGTGGGCAAGGAACCTTGCTGTGGCACTAGGATTTACAGGCTCTCTGGCCACTGAACCTTTGAAATTTGCATACTTCTGTTGCGAGATCCCTGGATATAGGAATCATGGTATATTTCTTTGAGCCTACAGCAGCAGGGTTTGAATCCTGTGAGCCCTTGTTCCTTCATGGTGTGACAGTTGACCTTTGCATGTGCTTGTGTTCCCAGGACTGGAATGTCACATGGCACACCAGCAACCCTGACTTTACCAAGTGCTTTCAGAACACGGTCCTCACATGGGTGCCTTGTTTCTACCTCTGGTCCTGTTTCCCCCTCTACTTCCTTTATCTCTCTCGACATGACCGAGGCTACATCCAGATGACACACCTCAACAAAGCCAAAACTGTAAGTCACCTGGTGTCCTTGTGGGGTGGGGCATCTGGGTACTTGTGTAGTCTAGGCTAGCCTTGTATGAAGAAGGCAGAAGGATGTGGTAGATCAAGGCTGGAAATTTGGAGACAAGCATAGTTCAAAACTCAGGCAACAGGACCTTTGAGTGAAATCTTTAACCTCCATTGCCTCAGTTTCACTGTGTTTGCACTGGGGATGATGGAAACTTTCTCAGGGGATTCTTGTAAAATCTTTGTTTACTAAAGCAATTTCCTTGTATTTATTTATTTTGACTTTGAAAATGTTTTCAGGGCTGAGGAGATAGTGCTGAAAACTGGATAAAATGCTGCACAATGTGAGGACCAGAATCCATGTGAAAGTTGAGGTGGAGACAGGAATCCCCTGGGCAGGCTGGTTAGCCAGACTAGCTGAAAAGGGATCCCAGGTTCACACAAGAGACCCTGCCTCAGGAGTAAAGTGGAAGATGACTCAGTGTGCACCCGTGCACATGTACATGTGTCCCCACACACATGTACACATATGACATTAACATGCAAAGAATGGTTTTGGTCTTGAAATTGTTTCAGGCTATAGGGAAATTGCAAGTCTAATACCAGAGCCTGTGCTGGCCCCTGTGCCTGAGGTTGCCACTGGCCAGGCTTTCCATTCTGGTCATTTGCTTCTTTCTTAGTCTCTGCTTTCTCCACATGTACATATTTATATGATTTTTTTTTTTAAAATTTGGCTATTTGTGAAGAGGTGACATCTCCTGTGCCTTTTTTTTCTCTAATTCTTTCTTTCTTTATTTTTTTTTTTTTTTTGAGGCAGGTTGCTACTTTGTAACTTAGACTGGCCTGGAACTTGGGATCCCCTGCCATTGCCCCTTCTTCTCTCATGCTAGGATTTCAGAGCACTCCGCCTGGCTTGCCCATCATTTGTCAGTATTTCTTTCCTCAGATCAGGCTGCTCTTTTATTAAGTATATCAGTGAGAGGCAGGGGTAGATCCATCTCAGAGGTGTGGCTAGAGGTCAGATTCTGAGCAAGGTACTAGGGGTATGAGAATGGATTACACAGCCGGGAACAGGGGAGCACACTGTCATCCTAGCACTTGAGAGGGCTAAGGCAGGAAGATCAGGAGTTCAAAGGCATCCTGGGCTACATAGTGAGACCCTGCCATAAAGAGAAAGAGTAAGAAGCTGGACAGTTTATCTGAGAACCTTGGAAGTTAGCTGGTGTCCTCATGGTTACTTTTTTGTGGTGCTCTGAAAGATCCCAGGATTACTGCCATGATGCTCCTTTTTCTTCCAGGCCTTAGGATTCTTTCTGTGGATCATCTGCTGGGCAAACCTCTTCTATTCTTTCTGGGAAAGAAGTCAGGGAGTGCGCCTAGCCCCGGTGTTACTGGTCAGTCCGACACTGCTGGGCATCACCATGGTGAGTGTTGACTGGTGGGGCTGGCAGCAAGAAATGGAGGACTTTGGCTGTAGTGTGACTGATGGTAGAGTGTTTACCTAGCACGTGATCTCACCTGTTCTGGGCTGAGCTTTGACTCCCTATGTAGCTGAGGATGACCTTGAAAAGAGAAACTGCATAGTGAGCCAAGCATGGTGGCACATGCTTTCAGTCTAGCCTTGGAGAGATGCAGAGTTCAAGGTCAGTCTGGCTGTAATAGTGAATTTGAGGCCAACCTAGGCTACCTGAGACCTTGACTCACAAAACCAAGTAATAGAAGCTAGAGACATGGCTCAGTGGATAGAGTGCTGCTCTTGCACAGGACCCAGATTTGGTTCCACCACGTGCACTGAGTGGCTCACAACCCCCTGTAATTCCAGGTTTAGAGGGATTCCTCTTCAGATCTTGCGGGTACTCACATGTATTTGGTACACATGTAGACAGATACACATACCAATAAATAAAAATAAATCTGAAGGGCTGGAGAGATGGCTTGGTGATTAATAGCACTGCCTGCTCTTCCAGAGGTCCTGAGTTCAATCTCTAGCAACCACATGGTGGCTCACAACCATCTGTGATGGGATGTGACACCTGACATCCTCTTCTGGTGTGTCTGAAGATAGCTACAGTGTATTCATATATACATGAAATAAATAAATAGGTAAATCTTTAAAAACAATCTGAAAGAGAACAAAATTAAACCCAAAACCCATAGATGGGACTGAAGACACGGCTCAGAGTGTAGAGGTCCTTGTGGTTTAAACCCATCAAAGGTAGAAGGAGGGAACCAACTCCACAAAGCTGTCCTCTGATTTCCACATCTGTTACGGCATGTGTGTGCACACAAAGCTGTCCTCTGATTTCCACATCTGTTATGGCATGTGTGTGCACACACATCTAATAATAAAATATTCCAAAACCTCTAAAACTAAATCTGCAGCAGCTGCAGTCCTTATCCTGCTCCGCAGCTCCCCGCAGCTCTAGGTGAGTTCACAGAATGTCATTTGTAGTAGTTTCTCAAGAGTGATGGATTTGGGAGCTCTGAGGCTTTAGGGAGATGGAATAATAAGGAAAGTAGGAAGCAGTGCTGGCTGCTAGGATCCTACAGCTCAGCAACACAGACAGCTATGACTTAAAGTTACAGATACGCTGTGAGTGGGATTTGAGTCTGATAGGATTCCTGGTATTGTGCTTGAGTTTGAGGTCACTTTAGAGTGGCCCTGTGGGACAGGCACCATGTGTCTCCTTACAGGTGATAAGAGGAAGGCACACAGAGGCCCAGGGCTGTGGCTGAGGTCATGAGTACCTGAGCCAGGCTTGGGTCCCTTGGGTTTTTAGAGAGCAGACTTGGCAGCTGGAAGAAGAGGAGAAAAAGCAAGCTTAAAGCAGACTTGGGGACAGAAAATCAGTTTATCTGAAGGCTTGGGGCTGAAAGGAAGTGTATGGGGAAGGAGGGGCTGTGAGTCAGAAGTGGTGGAGGCTTAGGAGAGAGGGCTGGGCTAAAGAAGACACAGTGATGCTGATGGCTGTGTTAACCAGCTGCCAGGCACAAGACTGATTCCTGTGTTCATATATTTGCACATTCTTCCCATGTTGTAGATAAGTGAGTGGAAGGCCAGAGAGGTGAAGGAACTGGGCCAAGGTCACAAAGCCAGGAAATGGTAGAGCCACATTCTGACTGCTGTCCTGATGTTTGTGATGGCTCTTGACTTATTTTCTGGCTCTCCTGCTGGGCTCTATTCCTTGCAGGCACTTAGTAGGCAGTTAGCAAACATATTCTTGCCCTGAATATGTGTGAGATAAAAATGTATGGCTTGGCTGAGCACAAAGACATCAAATGGTGTCTCTCTAAAAGACTAAAGCTGTGAGTCCTGGTGTGTGGAGCTTTGGGTGGGGAGCTCTGAACTTGGATCTGGGGCTTGTAGTTCAGGAAACTTCACTGAAGGGAAGAATAGTGGAGCTGAAGTCCAAAGGGCAAATAGGATGAGTGGGGCTAAGGGCAGAGGACCATCCTGTGGAGAACAGCATCCTGTTGAGAACAGCATCCTGCTGAGAACAGCATGTCCAACACTCAGGGTAAGGGAGAAATGGAGGATTGCCCTGAGTGTCTGGAGCAGGGATGGAGAGGGAGGGGATCAGAGAAGATGTGTCTGTGGGAGGCAGAGGACCCCAAGCACTGCAGGCTCGCAGTAAGTGGGGTCTGCTCTGCATTGTCTCCTCTCAGAGCTGGCTCTTAGTTCTAAACTGAGCTTTCTTCGCATTACTGTTAGGATCTTATTAGAATCCCATGACTCAGGGATCGGAAGGCGGCTCAGTTGTTAAGAGCACTTGCTGCATAAGCATTAAGAGCTGTTCAGATCTCTAGTGCCATGTAAAAAGTCTGGCATGCCACACATATTTTTAACTGGAAAGCAGAGGCAACTTGCTTACTAACCTAGTTCCAGGTAAAATGAGAGGCTCTGTGTCAAGAGAATAAGGCAGAGAGTGAGAGAGCAGAATACTCAGAATCATCTTCTGGCCTCTGCACATGTGCACCCATACAGACATGTGCATACATGGCACACACTCTCTGCACATGTGCACCCATACAGACA